TTAAAGATTACATGTTGAAAGTGATCTCTTATCTCAATGAGGTAGAATTAAATGGTGCTGAGATAGATGCGGAAACGTAAATATCAATGATCGTTCATAGCTTGAATTCGTTATTTTTACAGTTCTAATTGGATTATGAGCTGCATACTAGAGATTACACCCTTAGTGGGCTAATGAATGATCTCTAAATTGTGGAGGAGGTTCTTGATTTGAAGCTTAAAGCACATGCAGTTTTCACTTGTAAGCTTAAACCCAGGGGTAAAAAGATTTCTAAAGGCTCAGTGGGAGCAAAGCAAAAGCCCATGAAGAAAAAGATTGCTTCAAAAGACAACACCAAAGGAAAATATTTCCATTATGGTGTGAAAGGACATTGGAAGCGAAATTGCAAGGCTTACCTTGAAGGAATCCAGAAGAGTAAACAAGGTATGGGTTTTTTAAATATGGTAGAAGGCTGTTTAATGGTTGATTATATAGATATTTGGATAGTAGATTCTGGAGCCATTAACCATGTTTGTAATTCTTTACTAGGGTTTCAACAAAAGAGAAAACTGAGAAAGGGCAGTTTCGTATAAAGATGGCAAATGGCACATTCGTTTCAGCATTAGCAGTGGCAGTCATTATTTTTTAATTTCCTTATGGTCGTAGCTAAGTTTTAGAAAATGTTTATTACATTATAGAGACTTATAGAAATTTGATTTTTGTTTTTTTTTTAATCAAGTTTGGATATTCAGTTTATTTTAGTGAGATATTATTTATTCGAATAAGGATTTTATTCGTTCTGGAATTGTAAAATATAATCTTTATTTTTTTAAGTCTACGACTTATTCTATAAATGGTGTAGAAGCAATACAATTTAAAACTGAATGAGTCAAAGAACCTAGCTAATGTGTGCATCAAATACATATATTTAATGGGAGATTAAATATCTAATTGGTTTAAGTTAAACTAGATTTAGGATCGAATTTAGGTGTTTTTATTTATTTTATTAGTTTAGTTTAATTTATGTTTAAATGTTTATTTTAAGTTAATAATGTTAGTTTTATGTTTTTATATTTATTTTTATGTTTTTGTAGGAGTAGGATAAAAAATAATTTCAATTGATTAAGAAAGGTGCATAACGGACTAGTGCTTTGTTTGCATATGTTTCGGTTTTCCAAGCATATCTCCCACTATAAAAATTCAAATAACATGAGTTTTGGATCATTAGAAAGCTAAGAGATAGGGCTACAACTTTAATGTTTACCGCTTTGCCTAGTTCTGATTGGAATGTGGTCAAAATCTTTGTCGAAGTGAAAGTATTGCACTAGAAGAACAAAATTGAGCAGAACCTTTAAAGGTCGTGGCACTCAACGTATTTTTCAAAAATAACAAGCTTACGGGATTTTGGAAGCTAGAGCTTTTGGAGACCATTTAAAGGGCTTTTTTCAAAGGTTTTTAGGAGGAGGCAGCAAGCAATTTCTCTAGAGAAAAAGAGCCAAAAACAAAGCAAGAGAATTAGAGGAAGAATCAAGATCATAAAGCTTTAACTATTAGTTTTTTTTTCTCTACTTGTATTTTTTTTTATTTTCTTTGACTTTGATTAATGGCTAATTTTCTTTAGATGAAGTTTTTATTAGATATTATAAACTAAATTATTTTTTTAGGATTGCAATTGAACATACATGTAATTAAAAATTTTAATCTTTTTCTTGCGTATCTTTAATGGGATTAGAATTGTTTATTTTAATTTGTTTTTAATGCTTTTAATTGCTTGATAACCAATTAAATTGATTTAGGAACCAAAACAAACTTGAGAAAGGAAGTTTAGCGTAGATTAAAATTAAAATAGCATATGATCATATTAATTTATTTGAATAATAGGATAAGGAAATACTTGTAGGCCATATGTAGTCAGATTAGAGCTTGA